AATAAGGAATTTTATGTTACCCTTGTATTTATTTAAGTTATCTTTTATTTGGGTGATTGCTTTGTACGTGGCCCATAGTTCAGCTTGCGTAATGCTACAATGTTTAGCAAGTTTTAATCTGGCCTGATATATTGTCTTATTGTTGTTGTTTTGAATGCACACACCAGCTCCCACTCCGCACTCTTGCTTAGAACCATCTGTGTACACTATCCACTGAAAGTATCTGTTTGTTTCGGGATTATAATCGAAACTTATTTCGTAGCTATGCATGTCTGCTGGGTGTAGTTGGAGGCATATATCATTACTAGTTCTATCAATTTCGTATGTTTTAATAATATCAGGTATATTCCAGTAGCTGTTTGGAATCATTTTATTTTTAATACGTTTTTCAATATCCTCCTGTGTGTAACTGTGTAGCCAAATATTAGTGCAAAGCCAATTCCAAACTGTTTTTCTTGCCGTGATATGTATTGGCATTAGTCCAGCCAGTACCAGTATTGCATCTGTCAGAACTGTTCGATAAGCACGAGTAATCCTTATTGCTGCTCTTCTCTGTATCGACAGTAGTGAAATAGGAATTTTAAAACTAAGTTTTTAAAAACAAACAATAAATGACAAAAAATATATATATGAACAATAGCTATATACATAATATGTAAGCTACTTTAACCTGTTCCATGTTATTCCCAACATATCAATCATAATCTGCTGACCTTGACCAGGTAACCCAAGATATCTCGTTTCAGCATCAGAATGCTTTTGAAACTAGATGGTGCTAGTCATTATAATTTTTATTAAAACTAACTTCTAAAATATAATTTTTTTTTGTTTTTACATTTTTTAACATATTTATTTTGTTTGTGCAAAATAAAAAAATAATATCAGATACAATAGCCACAATTATTTTTTCAAAAACGTATTTTTCGTTAGACTTATGAACAACATAACTTCAATATGGTGTGACACGCAAGGGAGAAAACTTTACTCATCAGATGGTTGAAGAGTTCTTCTAGATGTTTACAAATGTTTTTATACATTAATTCTGATTTGACGATAAAAGAAACAAGACTTCATAGAATTATATATTTTTCAACATTGTTATCTATTTAAACTACATTTTCAACTTTGTTCAGAACTGATGTAGTGCTTGAACAAATAATAGTGCAAGTACCTTTTTCTGAAATCTGTGTATAAAAAATGTATGTATATTTTAGCCAAAAGATAAATTTCATAATAATTGAAATTTATATTTAAAATATGGAGTAATTCAGTACACTAGAAAAGAAGTTTCTATATAATTTGTCTTATTTTTAACAATACACTATTTTACAAAATATCTTCAACTCCAAAGAAAACAGATCATAATGTAACCAGATGATTTATATATACTGTAATTATAATATGTTTTGTATATGAATAATGTTTATTTGAAAATAAATTCAATATTGTGAACTTCAGCAAAATATTTTCCAACATTTTTTATAAAGCAAAAATTCATTTTAAACTTTCACTTTTTTCAATTATTGGACTTTATCATTGGCACCATTTAAAAAATTCATTAAAATAAAATGTATACATAGCATAGCTACTAACAGTATGAATTAACAAGAATTTGTCTGATCAGCATTTCTTGTTAATGCTATTGTTAAACGATAAAATGATCAGATTTTGAAATCAAATTCCATAAATGCATCTTAAATTATCTACATTCAAATCTGGAAATATTTAAATTTACATATATAGAACTAAAATGAAAAACATCGTAAGTTTCTGGCTCCAAATTAAACACTTGACTACCTGAAATAAGAATTCAATATCAAAAACAGAACTAAATCATCATGAAAAATGTGTGGACAAATTTTTTATTCATTCATACTTCTAACAGTTATTTTTTTATATTTTGTTGTCATATAACCTCAGTTGATCAATATTATGTTAATTTTGCATAAAATTAATACAATTAGTCAATATAATAGGTATTTCATTATTGTCAAATGAATCAGATAGAAAAGATATATAGGATAAATACAGAAATATGAATTTTGTCAACATTTTTTAAAACAATATTTTACTTCAGGTATTTAGCAACCTTTTAAACTACATTATTGAACAGAAACAATTGCTTAATATCTAATGATGATAATATTCATTTTTACTGGTTTTTCTAATTTTAATTTTCCAAATTAATAAAATGGTTAAATTAAGTTTAAGTAATTTTAAATCCATACCTTATGCTCTCCAGGCATATCACATGGTAAACACCACTGCTTTTCCTTTGTTTTCTGACATGCTGTCTCTAATATTGTATCAAATATATCTAGCACATCAATCCAGTGATATAATTCACACTGCAATGAAATTTAATATTTATTTTAAAATATATTAATTTTATATTTTATAAAATACAGCAAACCTAACTTTTTAAGAATACATAAATTTGTGTACCAAAAAAAACCTAACAAAAATTTTTGTTAGTGTTTACTCAACAGACATGAAAAAATTCAAATACAAATTCAAACTGATCTAAAATAAAAATGTTCACTAATGCAAATTAGGAAATAAAATCATAAATTAAAAAAATATAATTTGCAAATTAAATTTATATTTATTGCTAATAAAAACTGAATAATTACCATTATAAAAATTTACTTATAGATACACTCAGTATATATGAAATTGCATTCATTTAAATTTTCTCACATTTAAGAAAAAGTATTTAATTATATTTTTGACTTATATTTTGAAAGGCTTATATTAGAAGTTCAATTTACTATATTATACTCTATATTAAAACTGATTAATCATGAGTATTTTTATATTTTAAAAATAAAAATATAAATTTTAAAATTGTTTTCAAGTATAAAAATTAGGTATTCTATTTTAACCTAATTTCAATCATGCAATAATTGAAAAGAGATGCATGAGACAGATTTTAAAGTCAATATTAATGTCATTAAAATAACTTTGAATAAAACATGAAAAATCATTTCTGAAGTTGGATAATCATACAGAATAATCTAAATACTTTTTTTGTGGATATAAAATGAGTATACCTAAGTTTATTTCGATTTTAATAAGTAATTAGATTAGTTTCAGTTTAACAAATAATTAGTGTGTAAATAATTAAAACTTCTCATATAAAAAAGGGAACAAAGATAAAAACAAAATACAAAGCAATTTAATGTCAAAGACAAGAATTCAGTTCTACAAAAAGTAAAAATTACAACAGAATGTCATCTACATTCATTATTATTTTACAAAAATCATTTTTAAATTTTATTACAAACAAACTTTGGATAGCATAGGGCAAATTATCCACTTATTTTCTATCATTTGCTATCAAAATACTATGTAATGTATCAGCAATTATGCTCATCAATATCAGATGATCATTATTGAAGAAAATTTAATATACAGGTCAATAATGAGCCATTTATATAATTTAGAAAAAGTGAGTGATCCACCTTTTGGCTAAAATGTCAAAACTTTCAGGTAAACTATCTAAAGAACTTTGCGTACAATACCATAACTTTGGAAGATTATGATTATTGGTTAAGTATTAAAAATATTAATATGTATAAACTGTATAACTTTCCTTTGTAAATTACATCAAATATATATAATTAACTGATATTAATTTGTTTATATTTTTGTATTTTGTTAGAAATATTGTTAGACTAAGTTTGTCACTCTTGTTACACTGAGTGACAAACTCTATTAATACTATAGTTTATTAATTAATTAACATCAAATGACTATATATGATATTTCCAATATGAAATTCTCATGCCAATAAAAATTTGTACAAAATACAGTATCATATATTTAATAAAATGTATCTGAAAACTTGTATAGTAATAAATTATAACAGTGATTTCATGAGAGAAAAGAGGATATTTACATATCCAATGTAAAAGTTCACACATTGTACTTACCTTACCACAGTTCCATGTTCTAATCTTTTTTAATTCATTGAGCAGCTCATCGTGATCACATATTTTTAGTTTTTCAATTAAACTTTTACAATCTGCAGGCTAAAAACAGAAAAACAATTACTACTTAAGATCATTTAAATAAATAAATAAATAAATAAAAATATATATATATATAGGCCAAACTAGTTTATCCTACGCGTGTCAGGATATAGTAGTTTAGCCTATAACAATCTAGTTTGGCCTAAATACTTTAGGCTTAACTAGTTTGACCTACACCAAACTGATAATACAAATAGGTGCCAGTGTAAAAAAAAATTATTTCGTGTAATTCGAAATGCCACCACAGTACACCCAGTGGTTAGAGTGAACCTAGGTAACCCCAATGGCGGTGCTTCGGTTAGGTTAGGTCAACTACATTTTTAGTAGACATTTCCTTTTTTTTTCTTTTGTTCAAGAACTACCGTGAATCAATAACTAGTGACGTTAGACAATGGGCAACTTGCCGACGGCTCCCCTCCAGGAGGAGTCTGCCAGGAGCACGAACAGTCTGAAGTGCCTCCATTGGGGTTACCTAGGTACACTTTAACTCGCCCTGTAAAAATAAATAAAAGATTAAATATTTTATGTGTTACACTAAGAAACACAAACAAGTTCATTTTTAATTTTAGTTTGACTTTAAAAGTTATTTTTATTATTTCGTTTGAATTTTTGAAAATATTTTCGAAAGTTAATTACCTTTAAAAGCACGCTAAGCGATATTATATATCTATTAAAACTTTTGTTTTCCATTTTGTGTATACCAAAACGATTAAATAAATGAAAATTTGCATGTGTCATTGTTATAATGCGCAGGTACGAGTACAAACCCTTGGTACAACAATGAAATCTTATTCATTTTGTATTTGTTTTACTTTTTTAAAAGCATGTTTGCCTAAATTGTGGCCCATTGTAATGTTATGCTTGATCAAAGTAGCCTGCAAAACAATTTGGGTTGGCCAGGCCTGACTTAAATAATAATTCTAAATCAGTTCAGCCTAGGACAAACTAGTTAAGCCTAAAGTATTTAGGCTAAACTAGTATATCCTGACACGCGTCGGATAAACTAGTTTGGCCTGAAATTGGGTTTTGCTGGTAACATTATATATATATATATTTTTTCCCAAGGTATCAATCTATTTAAATTAAAAACTTTTTTAGTTATAAATAACTTTCGCAATAAAAACTTTCACCCCTCTCTGGGACATTCAGAAGTTTCTGGAACACAGGTTGAAAACTACTGTTATATATATATATGTATATGTATGTATGTATGTATGTATGTATTATATTACTTTATTTGTAGAGAATTCTGTGTTTAATATTTTATTCAATACAATAAGTTTATTAGTTTATTGTTTTGTGAGAATAGTAAACATAAAATTGCTTATTGATCTTTGAATATATAGTAAAGCGTCGTTTATCCGAAGGAATTCCAGTCGACAAATTTAAATTTTCACCAGTGCTGTGGCGCTGTAATCTTTGGCTATATCTTCGGCTACTCAAATATTTTACGTTTTTGATATACTAAATTAACTTCTGAAGTATAATTTTTTATTGTTTTTATATTTTTCAATATATTTATTTTGTTTGTACAAAATAAAAAAATAATTTTTAACGATACAATAGTCTTCGTTAGGCTTAACATCGACAAAAATTCAACACGAAGCAACACACAACAGAGAAAAATTTCAACACGAGATAAATTAATATATTTTTTCGTACATAATTGGTTATCCGAAAATTAAGTTATCCGAACAACCCGAGTCCCCAATTGATTCGGATAAACAACGCTCTACTGTATTGATGTAATGATCTGCATAATAAAAAGTATACAAATGGTGTTCTATGACTCAAAGGCTTCATAACAACTGATTTACAGTATATATAACAATCATCTTTATTTCTTGAAACAAACATTTAAATCCCAAATATGGTATCAAAAGTAATACAAGAACTTGTGTTTAGATATTTTTAAGTTTTGCTGTTTTCATTAATATATTACTGAAAACAATTATATTTTAATATAAAATATATTATGTATTAATATATAATGTAATATTTATTTTATATAATTTTAAGAATTACAGTACTAATAAATCTATTAAGTCAAAATTTAGTTTTCATATTCAAAATAGTAGCATTTCAAGTATTGGTTTAATGTACAAATTGATAAAAAGTACATATTGATTAATCTAGCTGGAAACAATTATGTCTGATTTCATATTATTTTTGTTAATTTCTAACATTTTTCTGAATATCATGACAAAATTTCATATATAACATAGATGAGGAAAGCTAGGAATCACTCCTTTTTCTTCTTAATCTGCCTGCACAGTTTCTTTGACTTATGTCCTATAGTTCACCACTCAATACATTACTTAGGCACTAGTGTTCACTTTCAGATAAATACTTAGCATTTGCTCTTATCATGATCTTTGGCAACTTTAACAAATACTTGATCATCATCATACAACCTAGGAGAGCAAGTTTACTGTCACATTCCAATATACGCAAAAGCCTGTTTCCATTGGCCCAGCTAAGAACTTGCTGGCTCAAACCTCATATTTGTGGTTCTCATTATACTATAACATTCTCATTTTTATTTTCTTTAGAAAAATAAATTATCTTAGAAAATACTATCATCTAATATAAATGGAGTTGTGCAAACATTAGTGAGTGCTTAAATATTGTAGGAGATAATGATTAAGCATAGTATTGAATTTCTTTAAATTTCTTTCTTTAGAATTGTTTTGCTTTATCTTTATCTCACTTCATCTCAAGGTGTACCTGCAAAACTGTTCAATTCCATTAGTTACATTCTATCAGCTACAAAATTTTGCTGAAAGGCATTACACAGGCTGTTTAAAACAAAAATAAAATAAACTATTAAAGATTCTTTATATAATGCAACAGAGGTAAAAGTACAAATCTATTCAGAATCAGCATTTTTTTTTTTACTCTGTTCTCTAACTCAAATCATCTGTAACTTGAAGTTTTTTCCTGCCCCTTAGAGCTTTGAGTTAGATAAGTTTTGAAGTTTTACTGTATATAATTTTCTACATATACATACACACACTAAACACACTGTCAACATCATTTGGCCAAAGATAAAATATAAGAAATCTGTACTGATAATTTTATCATCATCAGGCAACTCAATTACATTTTTATTTTTGAATAAAATGATTTTTTCTAGTCAATAATAAATAAATTCTGATCAGAAATGCTCCTATGATGGCAAAATGAAGATAAACATGGACTAAAGAAATAGTTTCAACTTAAATTACTTGTAGAAAACATTATTCAGATCTCATGGCAACAGAATAATTTTCAAGTGGATATAGTTTGTACAATACATTGTTCTTTGTATCATATGTAAAATGTTCAATGTTAAAGTAAAGAAAATAGTTAAACCAGTGACTAATATTTAATTTTAACAGACAAAAATTTATCAAAACAAATTTATTTCTCAAATTATAAATGACAAGGAAAAATAAACATTGTATGGTAAACATTTAACAAGTAAAAACAATATTCCAAAAAGTAAATTATAACAGCTTTAAAACTAAGAACATGTCATTTTTTTGCTGTTACATATTTAAAAATAAATTAAAACAGTCACACACAAAAATCAAGTCAGTAATATAATTAATATTAATTATTACACATAAAAACATTGAATTTTATGACTCATATAATTCTAGAGGAAAAAAACAAACAAAAAAAAGTGTGTTCCATTAAACTCATTCACAGAAACAAAAGATTTTAATGAAATTTGCCAAACTTTGCCTTTTCCCCCTCCACTATTTGATAGAATAACAAAGATTTAACACAATCTTTCAGTAAAAATATATTTTGACTTTTGATATTATACAGTGACCTGTTTTATCATCTCATTGCATTTTCTGCCTGTCTACATCTACCAAATCAGAAATCATCTGCAATCCTGCTTTTCCACTTCTTCACAAAGGTGGACAGGCATTTAAACTTCACTTGGAAGATACTTTCTGCAATATGGAAATTCAGTCATGCAAACAGCTTATTATTATGTCATATTTTTATACATACTTTGCCATCTGTTTTCAAGTTACTAAATTTTTTCATTATTTTTATATTATTAGAGTTATAGCAATAGTAAAATTTTACAATTTTAAGATTATTTTCTGCAGGGATTTTAATACAACTAACACATTCTGCTATTTATAATTGGAGCAAGCTGAACAATTTTTAAACAATATTTTTTATTTTAAAGAGAACATTAACCTTTCTATCACAAATAATACCTTTCTGGATTTTTTTCTCCCGAAATTGTCATGTTTATGTTCATTTTGTCTCAGGATTTTCTTCTGACCATGCTGCCATTTGTCTAAATTCAATTCCTGCTGTATTCTACATTAACTTGGCATTAATTATTTTATCTGTGCCCCCATACCCTGAAAATATAGAAGAAAATCTGAGACAATGAGCATAAACATGAAAATTTCAGAAGACAAGATTCCAAAACGAATTACTTGTTGTAGAGAAGTTAATGTGCTGTTTAAAATAAAAAATATTGTTTAAAAATTGTTCAGTTTGCTCCAATGACAAATAACAGGTTATGTTAGTTGTATTATAATCCCTGCAGAAAATTATCTTAAAAGTGTAAAAGTAAATCCTTCAATAAAATGCTTAGAGAACAAAAAATATATATGTGTGTATGTATAATATACAGGTATCCCTTTTATAACACAGTAGATATGTTCATAAAAAGTGCCATGTTATGAGAATCCATGGTATATGAAACAAAGGATTAATGCAAAACTAGGGTTACATTCCAGAAGTTATCATAAGTACACTATTCTTTTTCCTTACTAAGAGAAATATGTTTATTAAAGTAATCAATAATTTATTTCCAATCAATAATTAATTAACAATCACAATTAAATTAATATTAACACACAATACAGTACTTTAGTTACACAAAGGTGTTTTCTTTTCATAAAGTATCATTGTCATCTTGGATTTTTGTTGATCTTGATCAGAAGTATTGGCAATATTTTAATATTTTTTATTTTTATCATAAACTTTTTAATGGATGACAAAATAAAAATATGTTATTAATCAAAAATTTGTTCTAGTGAGTTGCATTTGTTCAGTCAAGTAGCAAGTAACTATTTTCCAGAATTTGTGTTTGAATACTAAATTGTTCAAGCACCAAGATACCACTATATTTTGTTCATGATTTTACGAATCATTACCGCACTTCAGCAAACAAGTTTAAAAATAGTTTAATAGCACTTATCCAAAAATGTTTAATTTAATCTTACTATTTAGTAAAGTTTATCTACAAAAATATAGAGGGTCTTAAAGGCTAAAATCCAAAAGCAATGACAACAACTGATTGATAAAGTTAGAACAAGGAAGAAAAAGTGTCCTATCAGTTTCCATTAAAGTAAACCTGACAAAAAAACACAAACTAATTTGAAAATTTCAATATTCTAAAATCCATGAGCAAATTTGAAACAACATGCATGATCACTTGAG